ATAGCGCATGCGCTATAGAGACACATAGGCTGGTGACACATCAGCGGTTTGTTTTTAGCTGCAGTTTTGCTGCTTTTACCTTCTAGCTCCTGTTCCACTTTTAGTTTTTAGCTCATTTCTACAGAAGAGCATTGGATTGGCCAAAGAAAACAYAAAAAGCTATACTCCTCCGTACATTTCAGCCTCTTTCCTGCTTGTTTTAAGCTTCTTCAGCTGACTTCAGCTGTCATTCAGCGCTCAGCATTCATWGAAAACACTGTTCTAGTTTTAAGTGTAAAATGTACTTTATCACATTCACATGGCAATWAAACTCAATTTGATAACTTTTTTATGATACACTCGCARRGGGGAGACAAACATGTTCCTTCAGTAAATGAATTGCAACTCAGAGTCTTCTGTATACAAACATACATATATATTGTTCACAACAGCTGGTAAATACTGCTTTAAAGGTTCTCCAGGAACAAAAAGAATGACAGGAAATGATTTAGCTTGAACAAAAAAAAAAAAACAAACATTTTTTGTAAGGTAACGTTAAGAACTGATCTCAGACTTGAATYTCAAACAGCCGAAGGTACAGAAAACAAAACCCAGTTTCAAGTCAAAGTTTTGCAGATGAACTGAAGCTGTTTGTCGAACAGAATCGTGGCTCTGTTTACAGTAAACTACGATCCACCACAAAGCTCTTTGTTTTTGTCATTTTCCAAACAACTAACCTTTAAATACTACAGTTCTCTTTGACATAAATGTGTGTATTAAAACTCCCAAGTACTCACTTCCATCCGATATGGACCTAAAGAAAACTCAATCGAGAAAAAAACAAACAAACATAAAATTGTAGTAAGACACTATGAAGTGTCACATCTTACTACGTTTCTTTTTTTAATGAGTGTACAGGACATTAATAGCTATTTGTGACTCTGTATTTACACTTTAAATTGAATCTCTGAAGACATTCTGGCACCTGGAAGAGAAAATAGAAAATGAGGACGTGACCGGCTGAGAACACGGATCAGAAACAACTCTTCATGTGAACAAAAAAATACAGTTTTTTTTAAATCTGATTTTTATTTTTTACCTATAACTCTAATACTATTTAAAAAAAATAATGCAATCTGTGAAAATGTTCCAGGTTGACAATCACTCACACACACACACTGAACCAGACATCAACGAAAAATACATTTTGAGTGGTTAACTTCTGCACAACAGCAGCAGAATCGGTTTCATTCAAGCAGCTCAACATTCACTCCATCATGCATCAGTTTAAGGCGCTGTATGAGGGCCAAAAGTAAGACTATTGCACAACCAGCYGTTGSTATATCCATGTAGCAGGAGACTAAATCTATTCCTAAGCCAGCTATTGATCTCATTTATGATAGGTCGGCTTCGCTAACTGAGAGACTGGCGCTGGCAAACAAGGAGACTATTCATTTGTGTTAGCATCAGAMAGGCTGGTGACTAGCATGGATAAATTGGCATTAGTTCTGGAGAGGCTAGCGACTAGCATGGATTAGCTGGCGTTAGCATTGGAGAAGCTAGTGACTAGCATGGATAAGCTGGTGTTAGTCCTGGAGAGGCTAGTAACTAGCATGAATAAATTGGCGTTTGCATTGGGGAAGCTAGTGACTAGCATGGATAAGCTGGCATTAGCCTTGGAGAAGCTAGTGACTAGCATGGATAAGCTGGCGTTAGCATTGGAGAAGCTAGTGACTAGCATGGATAAACTAACTTTAGCATTGGAAAAGCTAGTGACTAGCATGGATAAGCTGGTGTTAGTCCTGGAGAAGCTAGTAACTAGCATGGATAAATTGGCGTTTGCATTGGGGAAGCTAGTGACTAGCATGGATAAGCTGGCATTAGCCTTGGAGAGGCTCGTGACTAGCATGGATAAACTGGCATTAGCATTGAGAAACTAGTGACTAGCATGGATTAGCTGGCGTTAGCATTGGAGAAGCTAGTGACTAGCATGGATAAGCTGGCGTTAGCATTGGAGAAGCTAGCGACTAGCATGGATAAACTGGCATTAGCACTGAGAAGCTAGTGACTAGCATGGATAATAAATTGGCGTTAGCATTGGAGAAGCTATCGACTAGCATGGATAAGCTGGCTGTGGCTGCCCGATCCGTCCCGGTAGCACGATCCATACAGTCAGCTCATTTGCGCATGCGCTAAATGATAAGACTTCTGGAATGTGCTCGATTTCGGAAAAAATACTGAAAATATTTATTTCTATACTTAATTATAAAGGTGTTTTACGTTATATTCTGAAAATAGTTTAAATATTGTCCTGATGCATCTCAGTAATCCAGGAAGAAAATAATCAAAATGAAAAAATAAGTAGGTCCTCTGGATGGGTTCTTCTTTAGTGAAACGTTTCGTCTCTCCTCCAAGAGACTTCTTCAGAGTTTCAGGTGAACTCAGCCTTATAAGCACTGCCTCCACATGGTGGACAAACAGGTTAGTCATATGCAAAAGAGGGCCATCGCCTAACAATTGGTTTGATTAGCTCCATTGTTCATAGAGGGTCATGTGCCCCATCACCTGACTTATTGGTTTGGATGCTTCGGCTGTGGTTATTTGGTGTCGTGTTATGTGTATGTAGTGAGTGCAAGCGGGGTTCAACGTCCCCTTGGTTTTGTCTCTCTTTCCCTATAACGATACCCAACACAAAGACAACAGAGAAATTATAGTGTATAGAGAAAGTTTACTTTTTTCAAATAAGTTTGTGTCTAATAAAGTAGGTGAGCAGCCTATGCTTGCTAGTCGCTAACGCCAGCTTATCTATGCTAGTTGCTAGCCTCTCTGAYGCTAACACAAATGAATAGTTTCCCTCTCAGTTATTAGTGCCATCCTATCATTAATCAGATCAATAGCTGGATTAGGAATRGATATGGCCTCCTGCTACAAGGAAGTAGCAACTGCTGGTTGCGCAATAGTTTTAATTWYGTCTCTCATACCACGCCGTATCAGTTTGACCTCAGAGGCTAACCGTTGGAATAAAACGCGCTTTTTTTCCCTTATGCAGGACGGAACTTAGTGTCCGTCACTCTGAACCTCCATGAGGGTCTCCATTTATYCCCAGCTGTGACTAAAGCCAGGAATGTTTTTGCTGGTGTTGGCTTCAGTCTCTCCTCCTTCATTCAACTAAAATCAAACACAAACGTTTCCGTCTCTTCGTGTCGACGGACTGTCCAGAACAAGAGCTTTTCTTAAAGCGACCTCTGAAAACAGCAGGAGGCGCTGCACGGGAACCACTTTGTCACAGCGGCACRTGTTTAATCCTCTTCAATTACTTTTTATGATATTTTAAAAAAACATGTTGACACTTAAAAAAAACCTTAAGTTGTGAGTTCAGATTTGAACCCTCTGTTCATTTAAATTAACAAACAATGCAAGAAATATTGCAACTTTCTGTRAAAGCGGCTGCGAAATCACAAAAATCACTAAAAAGTTTGCAAAATCCTGGAGACTGATTATTCTGAAGATTGGTTTTTGAGTTTTTCTGGGGACAAAAAGTTTTTATTCAAATTTTTGTCATAAAAGGAGATTTTGCGGCAGAACCATTAACTTTAACAT